GCGCGGCCTGCAGCTCCCGCCCAGGCTGCGGCCTAGATGGCCCCGTTAGCTCACTCTGCCCGCACGAGGCCCGGCGGAACGGCGGGGCAACATAAGGAGGGAGCCCGGCCGACGGCGCCCGTAAGAGCCCCGGACCCGCTGCGGGTCATCAGGCCCAAAACGCCGCCCCCCGCCCGCCCGGCGCCGGAGAATGGCTTTTACCTTCATCAGCCTCCTGCTGGCCGCCATCTTGGATCTGGTGCTGCTGCTTTCCCAGAATGCATTGCGGCAGGCCAGGCGGCTGAAGCCCCCGCACTTCCTGGAGCGGGGGAGGGGTGGGCGTGAGGGGCGGGGCTCCTCCCTGAGCGAAGCACCTACTGTGTGCTCATCACAGTGCTGGGGAGAAGCGGGTGCACCAGACAGGCAGAAACCTGGCCTTTATGGAGCATCCAGTTTGATGCAGGGGGAGATGCGACGTGCCTGGCACGTAGTAGGTGCACAATAAATATTTATTGTATAAAATAGTTGGAAAACCGGGCCAGGGATGTAGCTCAGCGGCATAAGCGCTTGCCTGACAAGCCTGAGGTCATGAGTTTGATTCCTGGTACCAAAAAAAAAAAAAAAAAAAAATGGGGCTGAGGATATAGCTCAGTGGCATAAGCGCCTGCCTGGCAAGTGCGAGGTCATAAGTTCGATCCCCGGTACCGGAAAAACAAAAACGGCTCTTTTCTAAAATAGTGGAAAACCCAAAATTATTTCAGGTACCGATAAATGCTGTGAAGAAACGAAAATAGTGACTATGGGGACCTACTTTTCATTGGGGGAGCTGGGAAGATACACTGAAGAAACAGTACAAAAACAGTCAAGCAGGGTGTGGTGAGGCAGGCCTGTTAGCCCAGCACTGGGGAGGCTGAGGCAGGAAGATTGCTGTGAGTGCGAGGCCAGCCTGGGCTACAAAGTGAGTTCAAAGTCAGCCTGAAACTGCATATCGAAACCCTGTCTCAAAAAGACCAAAAAAAAAAAGCTGACAGCCAGTTGTGGTGGGTCATGCCTATAATTCTAGCACTCAGCAGACTGAGACAGTACAATTCCTGGGAGTTCAAGACCAACTTATACTACATAGTGAGTTCAAATTGAGCCTGAACTACATAGAGAGATCCTGTCTCAAAAGAAAGGTGAACAGTAGAACCTACTAAGTGCCAGGCCCTTTTCTATACTTTATTATCTTTAATACTCAAACCTACTCTATAATATGGTTACCATTATCCTCCCCATGTGGCAGGAAACCAACATACAGAAGGCCAAATACTTGAACAAAGTCATACAGCCAGCTAGGAGCGTAAGTTCCAGATGGGCTTCAGGATCCAGAGCCAGTGCTGGGGCTTGAAGATGGGAAGGAATCTCTGGGAAGGTTGGAAGAAAATGCTTCAAGCAGAGGAATCGAGACTGACAAGGATAAAAAGCTGGGCGTGGTGGCGCACACCTGTAATCCCAGCACTTG